ATAAGCATTTATTAAATGCCTGCTATATGAAAAAAATACAAAATGGTACAAAGACAAAAAATGAAATAATCCTTAATCTCAAAGAGCTTATATTCTGCTGAGTTTTTTGAAACCTAATTATTCCTATGTTCTAGGGACTCTTTAGCTTACACAGAGTTGTATAAATTCAACTCTGATCTATTTTTTTGTCTTTTCCTATACTTCATGCATCAACTGTGTTCTCATTGTATGAGAAAGAAGAAATGATGAAAACTTAAAGAAGTTTTTAAAGTTTAAATGAAAATCCTTTTTTTTACATCACTATTTTTGGGAGTACATTCTCCCCATCCACTCCAGAAATTAAACTCTCCCTTTTTTAAAAGAAAAAAAATTAAGCAAAAATAAACCGTGCAGTGACTGTATTTGACAATATAGGCAACAGTCAGCCCCTGGAGCTCTCTGTTGAAAGGAGGGATCAAGATTGGTTATTATAATTTCTCAGAGTTTGGCTTATTTTGTGTGTGCTTTTCATTTACATTAGGGTAGCCAATTTGTACATTGTTCTCCTGGTTCTGACCTTTTCAGTATGCTTCTGTTTATATGAATTTTCCTATGGTTTTCTGTTATGTTTCCCATTTCTCATAGTGTAGGAAATTCCATTATGTTTGTAGATGATAGCTTTAGCACGTGAAGGGATCTTGCAAAGGGGCAAAAGGTATGAGCAATTTAGTTCATTTCTTCACATAACACCAAATCGCCTAAAATAGTTTTTAAGGGAAAATGTCAAGATGACCATTTTTTCTTTTGTTAGTTATATGTACTTTTCATCAACTTCTCTCAAAGTTATAGGTCCCTTCACCAATGCTCAAGCTTGTGTGTGAACATGAACACACACACACACACACACACACACACACACACACACACACACATTTTCCTGGTTCAAGCTTGCTGCCAGTGGCCTGATGATCAATAGTAAGATGCATTACGTACAGCAGTAAATAATAAAATGCTGCATATACCTGCCTAATAGCGAGGCCATCCCCTTTCAGAACAGTGCAAGTGTTCATCTGCTTCCCTCATTCATTACAAGAAGGGCTGCTAAACATCCCTTGGATTAACTTCCTTTATGTGATAAGGGAGCTTTATGCCCTATGTTTATGGAATTTGCTGTATTGGAATGAATGTGTTAATTAGGGGCCGTAACAAATTGCAGCTTTGTGTAATACATTATATGAGGAGGATGACACAAAATGCATTGATAAGTTATATGGAATGCATTAGGTTAACTAGGGTACCCTACATCATTCCACTCAGTGGCAGCCCCAAGGGTGATATACTCAGCTTATTGTCATAGTCCTCCAAGCATCAAGGCACAGAATCTGCCAGTTCTTGTTCTGATCTGAAAAAAAATCTGTCCTGAGAACATTCCATTTTCACCACAGTTTTTTTTTTTACAAACATTTGATTAATGCTGATGTCATCTGGAATGCAAACATCATCTATTTCACCCTTAAAAACTGGGGGACAGGGAAGGAGAGAGAATGAAGATGAATCTAAAACACTTTTTTTTTTGTAATTATGGACCCAATGGCCCAATGATGGAGGCAAACCTGTAGCTATCTTTTGTTATCCCTCAACATGCAGGACCTCACTTTAACTTTAAAATTAGTAAATGAATGAGATATTATGGTAAATTTTGAATTTCTGTCTAGTTCTCATTTTTGCCTTGTTTACTTATTGGAATGTTTTCTCTCTGAATGTCACTAGCTTGAATATGAGTTGTTAACCTGGGAGCTCCTTGAAGGAAGGGACTATGTCTAATCGTGAACAATTTATAGTGCCTAGCATAGTATCACACAAGTTTAGGAACTTACTAGACTTAATTAAATGAGCATTTACGAAGTGCTAACTACATGCTACACTAACTACACTAGCCACTGGGTTTGCAGAGATGAAAATGAAGCTCCTGATCTCAAGGCTTACATTCTAAGATGGGGCACAGCATGAGAACAGGTAAGTAAATACACACTGATTTGAGGAAGAAGAGTACACTGAAAAGGGGTATCAGGAAAAGCTTCCAATAGGTATTGGGCCATGAACTTCCTTTCTTTGAAGGTCCATCATTCTAAAAGATAGAGTAGAGAAAAGTGGAGGAAAGAGACCATTCTAGGGATGAGGTAAGCCTGTGGAAAATCACAGAGGAATGCCTTAGAATGAGAAACTTGAGACACTGCAAATTAAGGCAGTTAGATGATACAGGGGATAGAGTACTGGGTCTGAAATCAGGAAGACTCGTTTTCCTGAGTTAAAAATCTGGCCTCAGCCACTACTGACTGTGTGACCCTGGGCAAGTCGCTTACCCCTGTTTGCCTCAGTTTCTTCATCTGTAAAATAAGCTGGAGAAGGAAATGGCAAACCACTCTAGTATCTCTTCAAAGAAAACTCCAAATGGGGTCACAAAGAGTCAGACACAACTGAAAATGACTGAACTGAACTGAACATAGGTTGGAATATAGAACTGCAAAGGAGAGAGATGTTAAATGTTTGAAAGGTAGGCTGCAACCAGAATATGAAGTATTTTAAATGTAAATCTGAGGAGTTTGCTTTGTATCCTAGAGACAATAGGGAGCCAATGAAGATTCCTGAGCAGGAGAAATAGCAGGGTCAGACTATACCTTGGGAAAATTATTTTGCTAGCCATATGAAGGATGGACTGGAAAGGAGAAAAATCAGAGTCAGGACCAATTACGAGGCTATTGCAATCATACAGATGAGTTAGATATGATGACTAAAATGAGACTATTTCAATATAAATGAAAAAATTCTTTGTTTTTATTTATGACTGACCTCCATTCTAGTGGAGATGTGTTAAGATGTCAGAGATGGTTTTGCCTTGATGTATCTTGAGCTGGCATAACTAAGCCTTATCTTTCATCTCTAAACCTGACTTCTTTGTGGAGTGAACTTCATTGGGAGAATAAAGACATTAGAAAGAAACCAGCTGATTGGCATCCCTCTCGAGTAAAATGTGGTAAAATGGAGTGACGGTATTAAATGTGGCATTTTCTCATTAATCTATCATTTGCATATAATACTTTAATATCGAGATACCAAAAGTAATAAAAATTAAGATGATGTAACTTACACAGCTTGATTAGGACAAACGTGTGACCAGAGTTTTAGATGATAAATTAGCAATTACATTGCGTTCTCTTGATTACATAAAAAGTATTTTGTAACCCTTAGAGAATAACAGTTCTTGGCTCCTGGGATACATTGAAACACACCTCCCTTTATCATTTCATACTCTAATAGAAACACATTCTGTTAGGAGAGCGCTTGGTATCCATTATCCTTAAGGGAACTCTGCATGTGCAATACAAAAGCAGTTAACTTGCATTTAGCTAATCAGGGGATGATGACATTTCTCTGCAATAAAAATGGACTGTTTAGAGTCTGAATTTGTTATGTCCCCTCCCTTTTGTAAAGTTTTCGTATCTTTTAGAGTCACATTTTAAAGTTGTGTTGCTTGATGGGTATAATGTTGGACCTTGGGTCAGGGAGAAGTGGATTTGAATTCCATTCCTAGCCCATAGGCAGGTCATAGGAATATCAATCTAGAGCTTGAAGGGACCTTAGAAGTCGTCAGGTTCAACCTTCTCAGTTTGCAGGTGAGAAGACTAAGATGGGGCAGATAGGTGGCACAGTGGATCGAATGACAGGCCTGGTGTCCAGAGGACTCATCTTCTCGAGTTCAAATCTGACCTCAGACACTTACCAGTTGTGTGACCCTGGGCAAGTCACTTAGCCCTGTTTGCCTCAGTTTCCTCATCTGTAAAATGAGCTGGAGAAGGAAATGGCAAACCACTCCTATATCTTTGCCAAGAAATGGGGTCATGAAGAGTCAGACATGACTGGAAATGATTAAATAACACCAGACTCAGACACAGAGAAATTAAAAGACTTGCTCTAGACCAGTCAGGATTTGAACTCAGGTCTTCCGGGTTCTAGGTTTAGTACTCCATCCACTATACCTTGTTGCATCTTAGGAGTCGTGTAATCTGAGCCTTAATTTCCTCATCTGTGAAATGGGGATAACAATACCAATAGTACCTACCTCACAGGCTTATTGTGATGCTCAAATGAGGGGTTTATAGACTTTAGCCTACGTGAACAGTTACTGTAATTGTATTGCAAATAATAATAAATGACCTAGAATTTTTCCAAAGGAGTTTTCCCTATTGAATACTTTATAAAAATCAGAATCTTTGCAAATTCCTAAGATTACTGTAATTTTATAGTAGGCCTTGGAAGTTGTCCAGGTCATCAAATCCCTGGCTGCTTTTCTTCCATCTTTCCATTGATGGAAGATGAAAGGTGAAGAATATTGAGTTTTCTTGACTTTAAGATTAATGTCCAATTATCTGTTTTGTTTTAATAATGTTTTTACAAACAAAGAACAGCTTTTATTTTTTAAAAGTGTGAATTCATGCCAACAAAGAATTTTTAAAACATGATTCAAATGTAGAGGGGAAGGGGCAGTCAAGAGAAAGCTACAAAATGTTGGGATGCTTCAGGGCCCCCCTGCCTTTTAATTTCAGTTTAGGAACTATCATCACTGCTGTGGAATAGCCTTGATTGTTCTCTGGCACCTTCACTAGCCAGGTAGCACTAGGCTGAAGTCATGGGTGCTGGCAACCATCACCAATCCCTATTCTACATATAACTTTTTAGTTTGTCCTCCCTAGTTGGAGGTGGGGGATGGGGGTGGTGGTGGGGTGGGGTGGACAGGAAGTGAAAAAAAAAGGTTGCCAGAATTAGAACATGAATCAAGTATGGAATAGGAAGGCAGTTCTATTCCCACACAGAAAGGGATCATAGAATATTTACCATCAGTTTATATTGGAGCATTAGCAAAGTTTCTTGGAAAGAGCTGCTTATTAGTTATTTTACATTTTGTTCCCACTGAGTAAAGACTGAACAATGCCCAATGAATTTTTTCTTTCAAAGGTCATTCACTGGGTGACTACCTCTCAGCCAGCTGTGCCTTTCCTGATGTCTCTACCACAATTGTTTTGGTAAGTGATAGATACTCTGCTGCTCAGGTACCCAGAAAGGGGAAGGATACCAGCTGCCTTTTGAGATCTCATAAAGTCCTGTAAGGAGGAAAGAAGATACAGATAGGAGGTGGTCCTGTCCAGGAACAGGCTTGTTTAGGACATCATGAACCCTTGGCTGGCTTGCATTCTGGGGCTGGGGCGGGTGGCAGGGTTAAAAAAAAACATCCTTCCACTGACCCTCTGGAGCTCAAACAGTTGTCCTTACACTTTGAGGTTAGCAGAAAAAAAGGGGCATGGATTGTCCCTTTAGTATAGCCACAGATTTCAGGCTCAGCAGCTAATTGAGTCCTCATCTGTGCCTCTTATGAAGTTTGTGGGTAGGGGGAAGGGCCCTTCCATTACATAAACCAAGGAGTGAATCTATAGCTTACTATATCTTAGCTTATGGCTGCTGAAAAAAAATATTTTTTTTCTCTCAGTCACAAATATGAACCTAGTGGGTCTTTTTCTCACAAGTTCACGAGCTACCCAAACCAAAAGGTCTTTTGTGAAAATTATAAGCCCATGGAAGATGAGACAGAAAATACATTTAAAAAAAAAGACATCTGGAATGTTAAGTTGGAAGAAATTGAGCTTATCATATATATAAAAAGAATTCCGCCACCAGGGTCAAACTGGATACCATGTGTGTTTTTTTTGTCTTTTTTTTTTTCATTAAAAGAGTACAGATTTGGAGCCCAAGCTATTATTTCCGGTGACTTGAGGCCCTCAGGGGGCAGCAGTGAAATGGAAAAGAGCACGGCAGCCTGCTCTTGGAGCTGATGCTCACTGAATCTGAAAGGTCATGTCATGTTTTCTGGCAATTGACTCAATGGGTTTGGATTCTACAGCATAAGGTTGGGCTATTTTCACTCAGCCCATGTTTACTGGGGAATATGCCTTCCAGTTGTTTTCACATTGACCTTATTACCCTGCCCTGGTGATGAGCCTGGCACAGAAATGACATTTTGTATTACCGGGCTGCACTGTTGTCTTCCCAATGGTTATTCTACATTGCTGTGAACAGGAGATTTTGGTGTGTGCCTATATCCTTTCCCTTCCCTACTGTTAGGACTGCCCTAGACAGACTATCTAGCAAAATCCAGTTCATACCTCATTGCATAGGAATGAATGGTGTACAGGGTCATAAGGATGGCTCTGTCCTCTGGAGGGCCTTGGAAAGCAGAGAATGAGTGAGAAAGATGCTGAGCATCCCAGATTTCAGTTCTTTAGGACAAGAAGAGGGGAGATGAATAAAGTTTATAACAACTTTCACTATGTAATCAGAATCAGAAGGAATATCTAGCTATTGAGACATGGAAGTTTATTTTTAGTGACAAGAAAATAATTTTATTGGTCTAATTGGACTCCACGCTTTTTGTCTTACAGTGGCATCTTGCTGGACACATTCAGGGAACAAAATACACAGGAAAATGGGATTATCTCAACAGGAATAATACAATTCCAAAGCTAAAATAATTTATGTTTAATGTTTCATTGACTGAAAGTCCTGAGACTTCAACACTAGTATAATTGTCAACAGAACCCCAGAAACTATTAAAATTCAAGTTTTTTTTTTAAAGAGTAGTTGTTTCATTCACCAGAATCTGATGAGATGTGGTCCAAAATTAGAAGAAGGAAGTGAAAGTTTGACTTTGGGAAAAAGAAAATTCTGAACCATGAAGGTCAATCAGGCAGTGGAATAATTTACCTCAGGAAGCTGTCAAGGCACTAGTACTAGAGGTATTCAAGGGAAAATTGGATGTAACACTTAGGGAAATGGTAGAGAGAAACCTCTGTCCTTGCATAGGAGGCTGAAGGAAACGACCCAGCAGTAAGATCTATAAATAGAATGTTCTGGTGTATAAGGTCTTGGTCACATTGGGAACTGCGGGATTTGTCAGGCTGTTTGAAAGTGAGAATACAAAAAAAAATTGTACTAAAAAGATGACTTAATGTTTCTCTAGGTTGCAAAAGCTCTGTTGGAAATATAGATCCCATTGTGTGTCCCCATGAAAAATAGAACATTAGAAAACAATGAAGTGTCTGATGGAAGGAAAGTGGTTGAAATGTTAGATGTATCCTTAAAAATTTGTAGCAGCATCTTTTGTGGCAATAAAGAATTGGAAACAAAGTAGATGTCCATAGATTGGTGAACATCTAAACAAATTGAGGCAGATGAACGTAATGGAATGTTACTTTGCTGAAGAAACAACAGCCGAAACAACAAACCTGATTAACATAGAGAAGCATAGAAAAACTGACTTGAATGGATCCAACGTGAAGTAAACAGAACCAGGAAAACCATAGACACAATGAATAAAACAACATAAGTGGAAAGAACAACACTCATAAACAATTGAAAATAATTCCATGAAATCATAAAGAACAAACTTGGCCCTAGGAAAGATGCAAGAAAGCACTTTCCCCTACTCCACTGAAAAGGTGAGTGGTTCATAAATGTGGAACATCGAATATAACATCAGATTTCTTTTATGTATTGATTACTCTTGGCTGATTTTTTTCTTCCTCTTCTCCCTGTCCTCCCATTTAAAATACTTGTTATGAGGAATGGTTTTCTGTGGAGGAGTTTGGAAGAGAGATATAGAGCAAAATCTAGGTGATATAAAAACAAAAGATATCGATAAAAATCTATTCAAAAATGGTATGAATATCACTAAAGCAGCTGATACATTTCTCAGCAGAGAGAGGACAATCCATCATCAAGAGGAATAATTCTATTTATTGTTGTAGAATGAAGAAGGATTTTTAAAAAACACACTAGAAATAAGATTGACATGTTCATTTTAAACTGCAACCAGATATCTAACAAGCTTATATAAGTGGTTAGAGTTCTGCAAGAGACTTGTAGGTGAGGTGCTCGGCTCATGAACTTTTTCAAGAAAATTACTTTAAGAATTCAGTGCTTGTTTGCTCATTTGTTTTTGTTTTGTTTTGGGGTGTGTGTGTGTGTGTGTGTGTGTGTGTGTGTGTGTATACCTGCGGTATCATTGATTTAGGGAACTCCCAGTGTGGAAATTATCATGATCCCATACAGATCTACAACTAATTTGAGTTGTCTGGGCACTTAGAGGTCATCTTGGTTGTACAATAAGGAGCAAGATTTGAACCCATGTCTTCCTGACTTCAAGTATGACCTTTCTACTATGCAAACAATGTTGAGATTATTAGTTTGGCTCTAGCTTTTTTCCCCCTTGGGTAAATAGTACATTAATATTTCTAATTTCTTTTTTTGTTTGTTTGTTTGTTTTGTTAAGGCAATTGGGGTTAAGTGACTTGCCCATGGTCACACAGCTAGTGTCAAGTGTCTGAGGCTGGATTTGAGCTTAGATCTTGCTAACTCCAGCCAGTGTTTTATCCACTGTGCCACCTAGCTGCCCCAATATTTCTAATTTCTAATTTGCTCCCATCTGCTAAACCTGAGTCCTTTGTCATGCTGACCACATGACATGCCATCACTGATGTCATTAGAATATTAAAGCTTTTCCACAATCAGGTTAAACAATAAAGAAATGGAGGGAAAAAAAGCAGAAGGGAGAATTCTTACTGAGACATCACACCCTTCCTCATGAAGTCCTCCTTTTCTCTCCTTTTCTGGCCCTATCATACACATTTTGGCTCAAGACTTGAGTGCCTTTGGTTTTGTTTTAGTGCCTTCTCGACTCGGATTTCTGTCTATCTCATGCCAGTAGCAATGTGACAGTTCTTTTCAAAACTGTAGATGAGAATGGAATCACATTTGTAGAGCTGAAAAAGTGTTAACTTTATTGTAGGCCTATTAATTATTTTCAAGCTAATGCAAAACAAATTATCCTGATACTAAGTCATAGATGTGTTACAATCTGAACTCCTAGAAAGAATTCCTATGCTGATGAAATTACGGATACTTAAAATGGAATACACACCCTGTAAAATTCACTCTTGGTAATGAAGAATTACTGTACCCTCAAAACGGGCACTTATGTGTTCAGCAAAAATAAAGTCTACTAAGTGGGCCAATGCCAAAGCCAATGTTAATGCAAACTTCCCTGCAGTAGAATATCCAGGACAGATATGCCTTGATATAAATGGAAGTTGTGTGTACCGTTAGCTGAACCGTTTTCTCCACCAGGGCTATTCACAAAGCTTTGCTTGATTATTCTGTTCTCACCTATGACGACAACTGCGGATTACAAACTCAGAAAGGCTAAGGTTGACTTCTCTACACAAGGTGGGAAATCCCAAGGGCCCGATTTGGAGAAAGTTGTGCAGGTGTCATAATTAGCTGTTTCCTGCTGAAACTCCACAAATAAGCCATAATCCTCAAGGTAGAGTTCCTGAAACCCCTTGCAGATTTGTTTGCAGACTGAATAATATTCATCTGTAACCTTTTTAATTACCTGAGCCATATATTTAACTACTCTAGACTTGCTGGTACAAATTTTACAGAGACTCAGATGTGAATGGGGATTAATGACTATCGTTGCTTGGTCCAGCTGCCACACAAGTGTCCAGCCAGCCTTTAAATGAGGCTTGTCTACACAATAGGCAAGTCAGCCATAGTTGCAAGATTTCAGTTTCCTATTTTATCCCTTGCCCTCCAAGACCAATAAACATGTCGTAAAGTGACAAAAAATGTGTAAACTTAGGAAGGCAAACATTGACATTAACAACAGTGTTCCAATGGTCTGAACAGGTTCTCCAGTCACCTATAAGGGCAAAGAAGGGCACCAGATTGTTTAAGGTTCAACAACCCCATTTACCCTCTTTCCCTACCTCAAGCATAAACCACATCAATATTTTTCCCTTTAGAGTTTTGGAGAAGAATAAATTTTAGTGTTAAAAGTCTAAATACTGTTTCTTAAATACCAATGATACAGCTTGGGAAATGTGTGTGTGTATGTGTGCATGTGTGTGTGTGTGTGTGTGAGAAAGTAGGAGGGAGGAGTGGTGTTTTTTTTTTCCCTGATGCTGCAATCAGTGGGGCATCTAAGGAATATAGTGTTTTTCACAGTACGATGAAGCTACCAGCTGGAGCTGCCACCAAACTGCACATCTTTGAGTTTATCTTTTTTTTTTTTCATCACCGAAGGCTGCACAATACTTTCAACTGACACTACAATTCACATTGTTTGTGGATGAGCAACGATTTTGAGATTGCTGCATATGAGTCAACTACCGACTCACACTGTAGGCTTTCTACCATTTTAAAAGATGTCTATGAAGATCATGCAGGTTGTGTAATCTTGACCACATGAAGATAATGGTGCTGATTTTGAAAGCCATTGTTTAAAGATCGAGGCATTAGAATTCTAGGCCACCAAAAAAAGTGAAAACGTCCAGAGCCAATGCTTGTGGTCACCTATTATGCAATGGAAAGGATGGCATATAAAATACCGTGAGACAAATAAGCATGGTTGGAGGAAAAGAATACCGGCTTCTGAATCAAAGGGCTTGGGTCTGAATTTTTGCTCTGCAACTAACCATGAGAATATTACCTGTCTGGGCTTTAGCTTCCTCATCTGCAAGATGAAGGAATTGTACTAAATAATCTCAAAAGCAGCTTACCAAATTGAAAGTCATCAGGCAGTTCCTCTATGAAAATCATGCACATCTGAAGAAACTCCTAATTTACATACAAGATGCATGGATCACAAATGGTCATCCAGAAGTCTGAAAGCTCATTGGAGTGAGCCAGTGGTCTTGATATGGACAGAGATGGAAACACCAAACTTAGGATAATTTCTGCTTTTCTGGACTTAACCTTCTCTCTATTCCCTCGTCAGTCTAAAGTCAGTCTATACCCTGTCTTTATTTGCCATCACAGTGCAGATGATTCCTAAATCTATATCTCCAATCCTCCCTTTTTTTCTTAATCTCTACCCCCAAAATTCTAACTGATTCTTATGTATTTCCTTGTGGGGCTTCTGCCAGACTTGCCGATTGAAAATGTCTAAAATGGAACTACTATCTTTCCCTTCATATTTGCCTGTCACCTTGAACTTTCTAAACCCATTATTTATTCCACTATCTTCTAAGTAATCCAAGCTCAGAACCTTGGAGTCCCTGTTGATTCCTCTTTTCCTCACCCCCATCACTGAGTCAGTTGTTAAGACCTGTCAATTCCAACTTAGCAACATCTCTTGTATCTGTGTTGTATTTTTCATTCCCATGGCAGTCTTCTTGGTTTAATTGATTGTCTCTTCTCACCTAGACCAGAGGTATCAAACACACAGCTACTTGTTGGTATGTAGTCCACAACACTCCAGATATGGAATTGAGCACTATTTAACAAAATAAATAAAAATACAACAAACATAGATAATATCATATTTTAAAATAAAGTCAATATGCGGCCTTCAGACATCCTTATGTTTAAGTTAGTGGTCTCTATTTCTATTGAGTTTACACCACTGACCTAGGTGTGTAATGGGCTCCTAGTTGGTTAT